GGAAGCTGTTCCACTGATGGTTTTCAACTGTCAGGAAGCTTCTCCTCTAGGTTGCTTCTCTCCTTGGTTAGTTTCCGTCACTTCTTGTCTTGCTTTTTGGTGCTTTGGAAATTAGTTTGACCCCCTCGTCTTCATAGGCGTTCCTCAGATATTGGAAGATGCTATCGTGTCACCCCAGGCCCTTCTTTTCATTAAACTCAACCTACCCAATTCCTCTTAACCAGTGGTTCTCAACCTGTGGGTCGGGACCCCATTTGGGGTCAATCGGCCATTTCACGGGGGTCACCAAGCAAGGCTGTCTGCCATTTTTTTTGTCCACCATTTTTTCCCCCTTTTCCGGCGGGTGCCTTACCTCCCTTGGGCTGGGCCCGCTGGTGGTCGGCCTGCTCCGTCTCTGCCGCTTGCCAGCTACGCCTCGGCCGGCGCAGGGGGCGGAACCACGCATGCGTGGCGCTCCCGGGCAGGGAAAGTCCTTGACTTACGATCGGTTGGGTAGTCCTCGACTTACGACTGGTTTAGTCCTTGACTTACGACCGGTTGGGGTCGCGGCATTAAAAAGGTTGAGAACCACTGCTCTTAACAATTCCTCTTAACAGTTCCCTAATCATCTTTGTTGCTCTTCTCTGCACTCTTTCTAGAGTCTCAACATTGTTTTTGTTATCACGGTGACCAAAAGTGGATGCAATATTCCAAGTGTGGTCTTACCAAGGCCTTATAAAGCAGTACAACCCTTCACATGATCTTGATTCTATCCCTCTATTAATGCAGACTAGGACTGCATTGGGTTTTTTTGACTGCTGTAGTATAATACATTGTTGGCTCATATTTAAGTGATTGTCCACTGGGATTCCGAGGTCCCTCCCACAGTTACTGGCATTAAGCCAAGTTTTACCTAGTCTGTACCTACATAGTTTTTCTTGCCTAAGTGTAAGACTTTTCCTTTCTCTACATTGCATTTCACTTTGTTAGACAGGGCCCAGTGTTCAAGCCTGTCAAGATCCCTCTGGATCCTTTCTATTCCATCATCTAAGTCATTTATGAAGATATTGAAAAGTATTGGACCTGATACAGCAGGGGTCCCCAACCCCCGGTCTATGGACCGGTACCGGGCTGCAGCATGCCAGCAACTGGGCCACACAAACAAGCGAAGCTCCATCTGCGAGATGCAGGCAGCACACAAAACCACGCACCCTCCGGTCTGCAGAAAAACGGAACGGAACCGGTCCCTGGTGCCCAAAAGGTTGGGGACCTCTGCGATACAGAACTGTGGGGTGCCCCACTGCTTACTTCCCTCTATACGGATGTAGTTCCGTCCTTGGCAACTTTAACACTTGTGGACTTCAAGTCCCAGAATTCCCCAGCCAGCTAGTATGGGAGTTGAAGTCCACAAGTGTTAAAGTTGCCAAGGACGGAACTACATCCGTATAGAGGGAAGTAAGCAGTGGGGCACCCCACAGTTCTGTATCGGGTCCAATACTTTTCAATATCTTCATAAATGACTTACTTGATCACCCCGTTGTACAGTGAGATTAAGAGAGCAACTCCTGAACTTCCTTTCAACTCAGTGAGTGATGCGGGGGGGGGGGGCAGACTTGCCACATACAGTATCCCCCCACCTGAGATCCACCCCCCAACCCACAGCTCTTCCAGTAACTCTCATGCAGAACCCCCCCCCCTCCCCAAAGACTTTCAAGCACCCCTGAATATTAAACACAGCTGGTTTTTATTGATTTTAAAACGTGGCATTATTTGGGTTCCTGACCTTCAGCCAGGGTGGCGTCAGGTTACACAGAGGCCTGAGAAGAGACCAAGAACGTCTCCGCCAATTTTCATAGTACAAATCTCGATTCTGGGAGTTAAACCGCAGGCTCGGGAAGGCCGAGAACTCAGCACGGGAAGAGTTAAGGAAGGATCCAACAGAGAACGCTACAAAAGGGGGGAAACCGGTCAGGGGTCAAGACTGGAACACGGTACCCTTCCGAACTCCCTCTTCGGAGGGCAGAAGTTGAGGGACATTAAAAAGGCGCATCATTTTTGTCTAGGATTCGGAGGGAAATCCAGAAAGGAGCCTCGTGCAGGCTGCAAAGCCGAGAGGGCGTTTCTGCGGAGGAGGACCGGGGAGGGGTCAGCTGCCAGCTACCTACAGAAGCCCTCAGAGCCCCACCTGGCTTCGACCCGCAGCCCTCACAAGAAGGCATCGCACCACTCGCGCAGGCACCCGTAGCAGTCTCTGGATTGTTTGGCGTTGGCTCCGCACGTGTCCTTCAGCCATTCGCGGAAGAGGTCTTCGTCCTTCTTCAGCACTAAGAACTGGCCCAGCACTACGTAGGCCTGGGTTCAAGGGAGGGGAAAGGAAAGAAAGGGAGGGCAGTGAGTAAGAGGGACCGATGTCAGGGCGTAAAACAAAGCCACCGGGAGGCGAAAGAGTTGATCTGGAGAGTGAGATGGGCAGCAGAGAAACTTAGTAAGTCAATAAATACATTTAATAAGTAAATAAAGGTTCTGGTATCCCAGAACTGTGAAGCCCAACAGAGCAGCAAAGTTCTCAGCCTTTGACTGTGAGTTCCAGTTCTGCCTAAGGTACAAAAGACAGCTAGGTGAGTTTGGCTCAATCACCAGGAGATGGTGAATTCTAGTCCCGCTTTAGGCACCTTGGCCCCACCCACCCTGCTGCTTTTCCAAAAGGCCCTAGAAACATGGTTCTATCCGTGATCTCCTGGGGACCCCAAATGGACAGGAGCCAATCAAGTGGCTGATTTGATTGTGTTGTCCCTGCCCTGAAGGGTCACTGGGGTTTTTAAAACAGCTCTTTAGTATGTATGCAGAGGATTTTTAAAGTCACCCAGAGCCAACTATGTACAACTATATGAATTTATGAAATAAATTTGTGCTGGAAATGGGGCAACTACACTTCTACCCTGTATCCCCTGGGTGGGGGGGAGCTGAGGACAGGAAGGGTGGAGCATTGACCAATCCATGCCTCTTGCTCGGTTCTAGGTCCCTCAGGCTGGCCTCTGGTTGGGGCACAATCATCCTGGGGCAGACCGTAGAAAAGCGAGGCTGCTCCCTCCCTCCAAAGTCACAGGAACATCACTAAAATTTCTCAAGGGCCCAAATGATTTATCCAGGAAAACAAAAGATCATCCGTCTTTCTCCATCTGTAATCTCCGAGACCGCCTTCTGCCACAGATTACCTCTCACCGGCCGATACGCTCCCACAGAGAGGGTCTCCTCAGGGTGCCGTCAATCAGACAATGTCGGTTGGCGACCCCCAGGGGGAGAGCCTTCTCTGTTGGAGCCCCCACCCTCTGGAACGAGCTGCCCCCAGAGATCCGGTTGATTCCGGATCTCCCCTCCTTCTGCCGCGCCCTCAAGACATGGTTGTTCCAGCAGGCAGGACTGGCCTAGGGATATTTTAAACCGGTTTTTAATTAATTTTAAAACATGAATAGGCCTATTGTATATATCTTTTAATTGATTTTAAATTTTGTAGATTTGTATTGATTGTTCTGTTTTTAATTGGCTGTAAGCCGCCCTGAGTCCATTGGGAGAAGGGCGGG